GAGGAACTGCAAGTCTGTATACACAGTTTCCATCTACATTTAGAAGTGGTAGTATAGATTTAATAGCCCCAAGAATTCCCATTTAAAATATAAAACAAAGCTTCCAAAACTGCAATTTTGGGGATCGCAGTCACATATAAATGTTTATATATGATTATATATTTTTAAAATCTTAAAGTGTGACAAAATGCTTCTTATTGTCAGTCTTTTAATTGTCTAGGTTGGCACTGAATAAGCATGAGCATAGCTTTTCAGTTTGTTTGAAAACTACTGAAAAATGTAAATAACCATCGATCTTAGAATAAATAGTTGAATGTGGTATTTGCTTTTATTTTAAATAGCTTAAGTGAGAGGAAGAACAGCACGACATTAAAAGCACAATCTATCTTATTGCATGGTTCTTTTGCAGTGACTTTTTAAAAACATTGCTCTTATTCCAGAAGATAACAAGAAGCTGCGTTTGGCTGGTTTGATCAGTGAAATGAGAGGCAAGAGAGAATATTTGCATTTAAAATTGCTCTTTAATCTGGCTGTCCTAGACCCAGGAGCTGTACCAGCTTCACAGTGTCTTGATAGACTGGCCTATTTCTTGCAAACAAATTATATATTTCTTTGTAAATGCAAGAAGCTCATCTAAGCATTCATACTAAGATTAGTGACTTTCTATGTAAAAGTTTCCTTTCTTATCCAGGAGTAAAAATACAAGTGGAGGTAAAATATAAAAGCAATGCGTATATTAGTCACAAATGTTTTGGTAACTCTTTGCATCTGGTCTAAGGGAACAAGCGATAAGTCACTTCAAGACCCACATTAGACCTCTTAGCAAGGCTCACCATAGCTCTTAAAATAAAAGAAAAAAAAATATCACTGCACAGCTCATTAGTAGCTTCTGATTCAGAAGGAACAAATACAGATCCAGAGTCAAATGCTGTCCAAAACAGGATCTGAAAGCAACAGTATTTTTGGCTTAGATCTGGGTTAAGCACCCTTCAAATATTTAGCTTTAATCCCGAGTGGAAGAGTCTGGATACTCTGATTAAATATACTGTGTGGAACACTGGCTTTGCCCAGAAAAGTTGTCCCATCCCTACAAGTTGTTTAAGTCCAGGTTGGATGGGGCTTTGAGCAACCTGGTCTAGTGAAAAGGCATCCCTGTCCACGGCAGCAGGGATGGAACTAGATTATCTGGTAGGTATCTTGCAACCCAAACTGTCCTATGATTCTATGATTCCATTATTTATTGCCTCAATAGCAGAAGACCTACTCAAGTGCTCTCCACTTCTGTATAAATCATGAATCCCAACCTGTCATGCCTATTGCCTGTTTTGAAAGTCACCAAGACCTGAGCCTTTAAAAATGCTCGCTCTTCTCAAAAGAAGACTGCTGAAGTCTCTCCCCAGTCTGTAACGATGATACCAGTGTTAACTTTCCTTACTGTATTTGAGCACGTGTCCAACCAAATCACAGAATCACAGAATCATAAAACGGGTCAGGCTGAAAGGGACTAAATGGATCATTTAGCCTCTCTGCTAAAGTGGGGTCATCCTAGAGTAAATGGCACAAGGTTGTGTCCAGATGGTTCTTGAATATCTCCAGTGAGGGAGACCCCACAACGCCTCTGGGCAATCCGCTCCAGTGCACTGTCATCTGCAAAGTAAAGAAGCTTGTGGAGGACCATCTCCCATGAGAGGGATCCCATGCTGGAGCAGGGAAAGGACTCTTCTCCCTGAGCAGTGGCAGGAACAACGTGTGATGAACTGACCATAAACCCCATTCCCTGTCTCCCTGTGCTGCTGTGGTGGGGGGAGGAGATAGAGCTTGGGACAGAGGGAGGAGTGGGGGAAAGATGGTTTTTAAGACTTATTTTACTTCTTGTTATCCTCGTCTGACTTTGTTGGTAATAAATTAAAGTAATATCCCCAAGCTGAGTCTGTTTTGCCCGTGACAGTCATCAGTGAGTGACCATTCCCAGTCCTTAACTCACGAACTTTAGGTTATATTTTCTCTCCCCTGCCCACTTGCGGAGGAGAGCGATAGAGTAGCTTTGGTGGGTTCCTGAGATCCAGCCAGGGTCAACCCACTACAACTGTCTTATCTCAGCCCATGAGTTTTCTCACTTTTACACTTCTGATTCTCTCTCTGATCCCAGTGGGGGCAGTAAGCAACTGTGTGGGGCTTAGTCTTTAGCTGGGGTTAAAGCACAACACCAGGTCCCAACCCAGGACCACTCCTCTTGATCCAAGAAGCTGCACAGTTGCTGTCAGTTATGCTCTCCATCCAAATTCATACCAGTGAACTGTAAAATGATGAAGGGTCACATAGTAACTGGGTTTTCCCTCTTACATAAATCTTCTAATGTCAGTACCTCCTCTTCTTGTGGGTAATCTTTTGAAGTTCCTCTAAGATACTCTCTAGGCTACACACAATGAAAAGCAAGTTTCAAAAGCAATTAAAGAAAAAGGCGTGAGGTGTGTCACTCCCCCTTCCCTCTCTGGCCCTCTTCTTTTCTGAAAGCTGTTCCAAATAATTTTCCCTCTGGTTAGGCTTGACATTCAAAATGTTGAACATTAACATATTCACGACAATGATAGGACTTTACTTTTTGTTAGACATTTGCTTTTATGGACTCTCAGAAAGGCCTTAGGAAACCTCACAATATTTATATATTCGATAATCTAAACTTGTAATGGTTATCCCAACCAATCTGAACAGTTAGATGTTTCAAGGTCAAACAGCCAATACAATATCTGACTAGTAGTGCTCAGCAAGTAGATAAAGATTTCTTTGCAGGAAGTGCTGTTCAAACACTTACAAAAAATCTGCTGTAGCCATTCTATTCAATTTCTTGATTCACTTTCAGCTCCACATTTAAATGACTATATTTCAATAGAGCAAAGAAAAATTAAGAATATGGATACTCACAGTCAATGACATAGCATTCATGTGTACAACTAATCAAACTTGCATATATTAAGCAAAAACTGGTGTGAAATACTGTAATCAAAAGTTAAAAACATAAACATATAAAGAAACTGTAATGCACTTGTGGGTTGCCTAGGATCAGAATACAAAGTAAATTGGATAAATTATTAATTACAAATTAGTTTTTCAACTGTAGGATTAAGTATGAAAGAACAACAATTACACACGACATTTGCTGCTGGTCAACAAATAGATCTACTTGCTTTTAGTATCCAGTCAGATATATGATTTATTATATGGTTTATTTGTGAAGAAAAACTGTGTTGATTACTTCCTGCAAAAATAAAAATATTTTCTCCTAAAACATCATTTACAAATTACTTTTAGATATATGACCATGAACTTTTCCTTGCACCTGCACAGCATCAGACTTTTAGTTATCATCTCAGTCCATAAGATACCAAAATGATTTAGATTGCATTTAAAAACTTTTATAAAATGACAAGAGATTTTCATTGCAAACTTGTGCATGACAGCAGTTCCATATATTCTTAGCCATAGAATATAGATATTAAAAGGACACAGGAGATGAAAGGATCTCCAAAATATGTGAATTTGTCTTATATGTATGTGTTTTGCTGCTATCTAAGAAGGCGAAATAGAAACACAAACACATTTGTTTGTTTTTATTGGACTAATGTATTATAAACTCAAATGACTCTTTTAATTGTGTGTGTATTTTGTACTTCTAAGAATGTTAGCATTTCAAAACAATATTGAACTGGCTGAGTGTCTTCCTAACCTTGATAATCCAGCTGCCTTAATTTTTCCTTTGGCTTTCCATATATACTTTTCTAGGAAAAGTGTAAGCAATGTCGCCTAAAAACTGTTTAATACTCTAGGACATTTATTAATACTGTAAATGAAAAAAAAAATTCTCCATTTATAAGCTTAATCTTACATTACAAGGGTTCTGTTTTGACACTTTTCACTCATGGATGAGAAAAAGATGCCTATCTGCACAGAAAGGAAGGTCTCATACATTTTGATACTAACAGATAATAATATACTGTCTATTAAGGAAGGGTATACTTTTGAAATTCTTTTTCTTAGCAGGACTTTCACCTAATTTAATGATGGAAACGGTGTTGAGGTAAATAATACCAGAGTGACATTTTCCCCCCTCCTTTTTTTTGCTGCTCTTGCTGAGTTGTGAGCCTTGGCATTAACAGAATGTTCATCCCTGTTTTGAAATGGCCATGATCTAATCTCTATGCTACAAATACACATGGCTGAGTAAAGGTTTAACAACAAAGATTAATTTCGGTTTCATTTTCCTTTCTTTTGTACTAGGATAACCATTAATTGAATAAAACTGTGTCTTCTAGTGAAAGGATTAGGGAATAGGTGGGATGTTAATCTTACTCTTGGACTTGACACAGCTAGAAAAAAATCAGACATCCTATTGGACAGTACTTTCTCTTTTATTTGGATATCCCTTGTTATGGTGATAGTTACAGGCAAAAGCATTAATGAGGATAGCTTGCAAGCTTTGATGTGTAAGTCACAATTATTTTTAACAACTTATAAGATAAGGTAACAGCTAGTACTGCTCCTTGTTAAAGATGCATCATTCTATCAGCTTTCATGAAAACTACCTGGATTTCTATTTGTTGTGTTTCTGTAACGCAATGTAGAATACAAATATGTAATAGAAAGGATTTGGAAGAACATCCCACCCCCATTTTCTCACAAAGGATATAATCTGTTATTCCTAGGAACTTGCTTACAGTAACAGCTGACTTTTAGTATAAAATATAAATTTTAAAATACCTGTATTGCTCTTTTGTGTCACCCTGAGAACTACCCAGCATGATCTCTTGTCTCCAAAACTAAGCTGTAAACAAATCTACAAACAAGATTGCAGACACATTCCATCGCCCAGGCTGTTGTAAAACTTCAAAGGGTACGCACTGCAGACAGAGGAATTATTGGCCTGAAGTATTTAATCTCAGCAGTACTTGATGTACATCACAGAGCTTGGCTCACACACGTTCTGAATGAATGCAGTTACTTACATAGTCCTCGTAGGCCTCGTGTGCAGGTGGCGGGGGTGGTCTGTAACCCGGGACAGACGGGGCTCCCCTGGCTCGAGGGGTGGGCACACCCCTTGCCACTGGTGGCACAGGGAGGGCTCCACGGGTCACTGGCGCTCCTCTGGGTGCTTGGGCACCTCGTCCAGGCAGGGGTGGAGGAATCGCACCCCCACGACCCCTGTGGGGAGCAAACAGGAATGATCACTTTGGCGTGTACGGCAAGAGAGGACATGCCCATGTTACCCCATTTTAAAGGCTCTTACATTTGTACTACTATTTAAAGCATCATGTAACTGTGGGATTACAACTACAACTACAAGCACTTTCAGGCGATATCTTGGGCAGAACTTCTATTATGGAAAGGCATTATTTTTAAGCAACCCAGTGGCTTTTATATCTGATCCTCTTGTTGCTTGTACTAAGGAAATTCTGAATCATTCTAATTCACAGAGTTGCAGAATTGCACTAAAGTAGTTCTAGAGAATGAAGAAAATGAGGAACTTTTTCTGTTGCTCTCAAATTATTTTACAAGAGTAGCCATCACTCTCATTCTCATGTTTATTAGTGGGTGGGAGAAAGAGATTGGCAGAAGATGTTACAAGATGGCAGGATCTTGCAAGGCAAAGTAGAGGAAGAGTATAAAAGGAGAGCCATGACTTTCCTTCCTATCTAATTTAGTTCAGCACAAAGGAAGGGCAGCTTGGGATTCTGCTTTCCCCCACTGCACAGAGAGAAAAGAACACATAAACAAGCAGAGAAAGAGGTTTATCATCTTTCTGGCTATTTATGCTGTATCTGCCTCACTGTACTAATTAGTAAGTCAGAAGAAGCTGTTACTGTTTAAAAAAAAGTTCTTGCAACTATACCATATAATGAATTAGAAGTAGAGTATATCAGGGAAGCAGTCTGTGGGTTTTGTTTCAGAGCAGCAATGCTCCCCAATGTGCTGCCCTTTCTGAAGACCAAGAGTGTCAGGTATAGCTGTGCATGACACCCAGATCCAGAGCTGTGGCTCGTTCCCTGCTGAGACAACCAAATGCACAGCACTAGCTTGTGATGTTCACTACTTCACGACAACTTTTAGTAGTCAGTTTTAGACTTAAACAATCACTGAATGGTTTGGGTTGGAAGGGACCTTCAGAAATCCTCCAGTCTAAACGCCCTGTCCCTTGGGCAGGGACATCTTTTACTGGGTCGAATTGTGCAAAGATGTGTCCAACTTGACCTTGAACATTTCCAGTGATGGGGCATCTACAACTTCTTTGGGAAATTTGTTCCAGTGTTTCACCACTCTCATTGAAAACAATGTGTTCCCTCTTTCAGTTTAGAACTTGAAAAAAAACCTCTCTCTGTCCTACAAGCCCTCTTTATATATATGGAATGGCTGCAATGAGGTGTCCCCAGGGCCTTCTCTTGAACATGCTAAACAACCCATGCTTTTCCAGCCTGACTTCCCAGGAGAGACACTACGGTCCTCCAATGACTTTTGTGGTCCTCCTCTGGACCTGCTTCAACATGTCCATGCCTTTAATGTACTGAGGACCCCAGAGATGGATGCAGCACTCCAGATGGGGTCTCACAAGGGCAGAGTAGAAGGCAGAATCACACCCTTGACCTGCTGGACATGCTGTTTTTGATGCAGCCCAGGACATGTTCGGCCTTCTGGGATGCGAGTGCACATTGCTGGATCTTGTCCAGCTTTTCACCTTCCAATTCCCCAAGTCCTTCTCTGCAGGGCTGCTCCCAATCCCTTCACTCCCCAGTCTGTGCTGACACTGGTGAGTACCCACAAGAGGACCTTTCACTTAGCCTTGTTGAACTTTATGAGGTTCACTCAGGCCCACTTCTCAAACCTGTATCAGTCCCTCTGGACTATATCCTTCCCTCAAGTGTATCAACCACACTACCATAAATATAATAATGCCATTAGCATAAATTATTAGCTTAAAACACTTCAGTTTTGGTTTTTTTTTTTTTTTTTAGTATTCCCCTGAGATTTTTGACTGGAAAATAGGAAAAGCATCTAACATCATAAGATCTGTGCAACTGATTCAATCAGTAGGGTATTTTGCAGGAATGGGGGGCCAGCACTCCACTGATTATCCTTTGAACATAACTTAAACGCTGCCAGTTTGTTGCAGTGATGTGCTGAGCATCTATTAAGTTCCAGAGATCTTAGCTGTAAGGAAGAATGAGCCCAAAAAGACTTCGAGTGGAAGATGATCATGAACAGCAACTGTAAAAATTTCTATGCATGTGCATCATACTACTGGTAAAAAAATCCATCCAGGAAGAAATGACAGAAAACATGGTAGACATCTTCAGGGAAAATAAAAACAAACACCAAGGTCATAGGTAAGATCAGCCTGTTCAATTCCCAAAGAACTCCTACATCAGCATAACATAAGGTACTTTCATATTCTATTTCCTCCAAAAATAAAAGTCAAGTTTTTAGGACACATCCTGAAAATACCTCTATGGAGAGAAGACTAGAAGTTGCTAGGTAACTCAGATGCCCAAGGCAACAAATTTCTCAAGGATTCATGGTAAAAAATAAGTCTGAAAGAGTGCATTTATATTTTACACTGGCTTTATGAACAAGCAGAGATATCTGTTATCTAGATATGAAAAAATACTTGAAAGAATTCAGGAAACATTCATATACCAATGTTTTTAGATTATGCCAATCAAATTCTTGTAAAACTGATAACCCATCAACAACTACGTAATATAATATATTTAATTTTATATACATAATAGATATATTACATATACAATATATATCTATTATATATATTATATTAATATGTATAAAAAAGTAATTATTTGGCAAATAAAGTTCCATTCAAATTATGTAGTCTTCTTAGACTACATTAGTTTTTGGCCAGTGACTTTATGCTACTGACCATACTGGTACATTGCTAGCATAACAGTATCCTTTCCTAGAAATATCCTCTCGTTGGCTTTATAATCTGCTCTCATTTGTTGTTTATTACTTAAATATATATATATATATTTATATATAAAAATATATATATATATATATAAATATATATATGTATACTGTCCACTGTAGCCTGTGAACTGTAGACCAGAGAACCCGGCACAATATAGACCACACAAGTTATCAAAAGACAAATATTTCAGTTTGCTAACCAGCACGTGTATGTGTTTTTATTTATTTATTTATTTATTTATTTATTAAACTATGTTTTTTTACTATTGCTTACACTTTCTAAAGCTCTTAGCATAATAGCTCAGGTTACCACACCTTGAAGGAGCTGCAGGCGGCACACGGATCCCTCTTCCTCGAATACCCCGTCCACGTGATGAGTCCTCAGAACCATTCAAATATGACAGTTCTCTCAGCTGCTCCTGGCGAATTTCATCATTATAATCCTGAAATGCAAAAGGTGAAACTTGCTGAAACTTTGTATTTTGGCTGACCTGACAAACCACTCAAACCAGAAATTCCATCATGGTATTTGGGTGACTTGTTCTGCATTATCATTGGTATGCTGAAAAATTGTACAGTGGGAGTGGACAACTGCCTAAAATATGTGGACAGAAAAATGTGGACACTATGGGTAGTGAAGGTAGTCATAAAGAGCATGAACATGCAAAATGAAACACACAAGGCATAGAACACATAAACAGAAATATATCTATATGCAAAATGTAAATGGACTTTCACATACAAAAGGTACTAATCTCAAAAAACTTGTAATTAGACAAAAAATTCATTTTATAAAATATAATTTTATATTTTGGCAATTTTTCCTGGCTATCTTTATGCACTTAAAACACAAATTCCATCCTATATTGCACCTTAGCATAACTGGATGATTTAATTCAATACCAATTAGCATCACTGAACGTACCCTTCAGCTCCTGAAAGGAGCTCTCTCTTTAGGACTCAAGTATTAAATGAAATAAAATAGGCCCAGTCTAAGTCAGCAGGGTATCAACTCCAGCACTTTAATTTCTGCTGGCTCAGTAAATATCAGATGAACTTCCTTTTCTTACTGATACAAAATAGAATCACAGACTCATGGAATGGTTTGGGTTGGAAGGGACCTTAAAGCTCTAATTCCAACCTCCCCGACATGGACACCTGTGGGAAAAATCCCTTACTCAGCACCATTTTTCGCGAATGAATTCAAGCAGGACAGACTATTGTCCAGGAAGAATTCTCTTGTAACTTGATTACTCCATACCTATATACATACTCTGTATTGACTCTGAGTTCGAGCTATCCAGCCAGGAAGACGTTACTTATCAGCACACACACCATACAGCCACTCCTGTGGCTGCTTTCAGCCACAATCAGGCTTCAAATGGCTTTCCAGCTGCACCTTGCCATTCTTTTCCCACACACACTAATGTTAGCTCTGGCTCGCTCAGGACCACAATATTTTTGCTTTAATATTTTCTTCCTCTTCTATCATCCAGATGGCTGGTGTTGTCTTGTTTAGCTGCTCCTACAGACACCTTGTTGACTTCCTCTTCGTTGGAATGCATGTTTGGAAGAGATGACCCTTGAACATTAATCAGTTCTCTTGGCCCCCTGTCCCTCCAGGCCTCTATCCCACAAAGCAGCTCCCTGAAGAGGCCAAAGTCTGCTCTTCTCAAGTCCAGTGTAGAGCTTGCTGCACATCCTCCTTGCTGCCCTAAGGATCTTGAACTCTACTATTTCATGGTCACTGCAGCCAAGGCTGTCCTGGAGCTTCACATTCCCCACCAGCCCCTCCTTGTTGTTGAGGTCAAGGTCCAGCATAGCGTCTCTCCCCAACGGCCCCTCTAGCACTTGGAAAAGGAAGCTCTCCTCAATGCATTCTAGGAACCCATGTGCCCTGCCTGTTATCCCTCCAACAGATATCAGGGAGTTTGAAGTCCTCAATAAGGACCAGGGCTTCTGAACAAGAAGCTGTTCCTTTCTGTCTATGGAGCGTTTCATCCACTATAATACATGATGACCAATTTTTACTTATTTTACAAGCTTTGTCTCAGTCAGAAGTTCCTTTCTCTTTAGCTTCCTTCCTTTCTATTCAGCTCTTTGCAGACTGATCACAGTCCTAAGAGTCCACTGCAGTAGCCAGCTTGCTGGAAGCATAACCATATGACATATAATTATTGTTTCAAAACAAAATGAATTTCAGCCCTTCAGTCCTTCCATCCTTCCACAGGCAAGTGCCATTTGCTGTCATGCAAGGGTCTGAAAATGCTACTTCTTGGGTGAGTGACCATCCAGGGCACATTACAAGTGACACCTCTTTTAGCCAAGTTAAAAACCAAGCCAACAGTGAGATGGAACTGTGGCCTTGCTTCTTCCCTTCTAGGGAGTGTAACTGGAGTAAAAACTATTTATGAAATTCAGAAAAGAGCCCCATTTATGCAATATAGCATGTGATAATTGCAGCACAACCATAATTAAAACCAAATCCCTAATTTGCCAATAAAGTACATCATGGCTTTGAGTTCGCACCATCCCCAAATCTTTTTGCACATTTTTCTATCATTCTAACGCTAACGGCAATAAGCCAAAGACACCTTCCTAAGTCAATGGGCCCTGTAAAACACAGAGGGAAAACCACAGACAGAATAAATGAGATCACATTTGCAGAATTGTTGGATCAGGTACTATCTACTGTGCTCCGCTCAATATCATCTGTTATTCATATTGGGTTTCCAAGGATTAGGACTTCAAACTTGCTGTTTGAGTTTACCCTTCAGATTCCCTACCAGTGCTGGGACTGAATTTCATTAATAATGCCAGTACATTTTGATTGAGGAAGAAGTAGGCAGAAAAAAAAAAAAAAAAGAGAAAGGACCTGCAAGGGCAGAAACTGGAGTTTCTGTGTTGCTGTGCTAACTTCTCTCCTTTGGAATATTGCTGTATAAATGAATTCTACCAGAAGTTGCCTCAAAGCTGCTATTCCTTCCTCAGGTAAAAATACAATTTAAAATCATAGTATTGACAAAACAGAAAATCCAAATTAAATTTATAATACACAGTGAGATCTGAAAATCTTCACCATTCTGTTATGCCATAGCATTACAAGTTATTTAGTGTACAGGTTTTTTACTGCATGTCCAATTAAGAAATATGTACAGTGTATTTTGAAACGGCAAGATAAAGACAACAAAGTACACAGAAGATGCTGGGACAGATATCTTGAAAGAGAAAGATTTCAATTTAACAAAAAATAATTCTATATAAATAATTTATCTTATGCTCCCCTTAAAAAGAGTAATTAGGATCATAATTTTTAAACCTGAAACCTGAAATTTTCAGCAGAAATGCTAATTTCAACTCTTTCATTAAAAACAATCATAACACTGAATTAATCTTTCATAACTGCTACGAGTATAGCTACAGTCAGAGTATCTATTTAACTGTAGCTGAGTTCAGACTAGCACAGCAGCAAAATTATGCTGCCGATGTTTCATTTATATCTAGTCTCAAGAAAGAGCACGTGTTGCAAGATATACCTATACTGATGAAAGCATAAGGAAGTAGCTACACACTGCAGTAGTATACTGTGTTTCAGAAAAAAAACCCTACTTCTCATACGAAAATAAGCTCATGAGAAATGTTCTGTACTTTACAGCTTTTCTTATAGCTCTCTAATAGTCTTATAGCTATTCTTACAGCTGATATTTTGTTCCTGTTTATATCCTTAAAACCATTATTACCTTTAAACAGTTTTTCCATTTACTGATAATGTGAAGGGTGCTGCTGACTCACATCATGGTGGTCAGTATTTACAAACACTGTGAGTTAACCACCCATGCCCATGACCATTCACCCAAACCCACATTTTGACTTTAGAAATACCAAGGATTCACAATTTCAGCAGAGTCAGTAGCACCCAAGGCTACCATGAATTTTCATGTTAGTGCAAATGTCTAAAACCCCAAATTACATATTCAGATAAAACTTTTAGTATTCTAGAGTACATCAACACGTTTACCCTAAATTACCAAAATTATGTTTATTGTGAAGGTCAGGAGTGATTAATTAGGTTGGTCAGAGTCTGACTGGTGGCAGCTCACTCATGGGCCCTTCTGGCAGCAGTGGCAGGAGCTGCAGCAGAGAGGGGAAAGCACATAAGCTGCAAGAGAACTCAATAAACCCATTTTGGTAAAAAATAGCAAAGCATGACGCAAGTTGCAAAACCTGATCTGAATTAACAAAAACATTGTATTGACAAGGGAGGAAAGTTAATAAAGAAATCAAAGGGTAAGGCATAGACAAGTGAAATGGATTTTGGGAATATATATCTATCATTACCATAACAAAGGCTCATAGAAGTCAAGGATAAATCAATCCCTTAAGGACTGTGATCTCCTGTCCTGATGTACTGTGCACATTTAAGTTCTATTATAATTCTATTAATAAATACCATTACTCTTATCTAGGGCAGCTGAATTTTATTCTCATCAGATAGTTAGGGGGAAAGTAATTTAGGTTAAATGCAAACTACCTTAAGAATGCAGTAATACCTGTCAAATCTAAAATGATAATACAATTCTTCACATTGACAATTGTGAGGTATGAATAAGACTCGTTTGGTCCCTTACACAGTTGATATTTTACAACATATAAACACTCCTCACACAGTTAAGCTAGCCATGTATTATGTGAAGAGCAGACTACCCTCCAGGTAGTGTCGCTTTACAGCGATTTACAGCTATCTTAATTCTACAAACAACTACATATTAACACCTTCTATCCTAAAGTCCATGATTTTAACTGAGTGAAAAAGTACTGAAAAAACCCCCTCTGCTTGGGGTTATCTTCTCCATAACTATTACAGTGCTTCCCAAAATCTTGAGGTATAAGTAACTCAAATATACAGCTGGCATATGCTGAGGTCCTATAGTCCTTGAGATCTCAGTCTGCACTGTCTGAGCTATGCAGCACTCTTTCTCTCCCATGCATATAATATCCTCTGAAAGCCCTGTGCTGCCAACAGAGAGCACCACATTCCCAGACATCTGTATGTCCCATCTTGCCACCCTCTCTTCCTATGCTCAGGTAACACAAAGGGAACAGGAGATGGATCTGGACTCCTGCAGGACTTCTGTGTCCTGCCCATGTCCAAGCATCAGCAAAAGAGTTCCAGTGCTCTGTGTATTTGCACAGATTCACTGAAGCTAGAGAATCTCCCCTCAATTCTGTTATTGCTGCCTTTGAGCTATTTCCAGGTACCTTAAATTCCAATTAGCCTAGAATTTCCATTGAGTACCTGCCGGACAATGGGACACAAGACCCAGTGAACTTTAGGTAGAGCTAGGTGATGGGAATATGGCCCTTTTGGTTTTGATTTTTTTTGTTTTGGTTTGGTTTGGTTTTTAGATGCATACTGATTTTGGACACTGAAAGAGACATTGTCCACATGCTCCCCTGTATATATGGGGAAGCACTAATATTGTTAAAACAAGTGGTGGTGAGGAATCCCTGGAGTCTCTGCTTCACTGTGTTCTCTGTGGTCTTACAAAGGTGAACTGTACTATGATTCAGCTTCAAAGCATGGTGTGAACCACTCATCTGCACTTACAGAGTCAGGATCCGCAGTTCAGTACACTGAAGAGTCCAAGAATACCAGAATTCCCACTTTTTAATTGAGTGCTTTAATATCAAGCTGTTACAAAAAAGAATAGCACTGGCTGCTCAGTACCAGAAGAGTTTGATAAACTAATTCCTGAGTTGATGAGATATTTGGCATTTCCTGTTATTTCTTAACATTTTAAGATCCTGTTCTAAGACTCCCAATGCATTCAAATATAAACATATCAGCACATATCCATAGCATCTCTCTATCACTCTCTAGTTAGGAAACTTGAAAACAATTGTGCCAGATAGATTGGATAGCCCTCTCCATCATCTAAAATTTGGGTGAGACAGTGCCTCAGGTGGGCATGCAAATTAGGTGCTGCACTTGGATCAGGGCAACCTCTGGTGTTAACACAGGCTGGAGATTGAACAGATCGAGAGCAGCCCTGCTGAGAAGGACTTGGGGTGCCGGTGGAGGAGAGGCTGGACATGAGCTGCAATATGCACTTGCAGCCCAGAAGGCTAATTGTATCCTGGGCTCCATCAAAAGCAGCATGGACAGCAGATCATGGGAAGTGGTTCTGTCCTTCTATCCTACTCTGGTGAGACTCCACCCGGAGTGCTGCATCCAGCTCTGGGGCCCCCAGCACACAAAGGACATCAGCCTGTTGGAGCAAATCCAGAGGAGGCCACCAAAATGATTAGAGGGATGGAACACTTCTGTACGAGGAATGGCTGAGAGAACTCTTCAGCCTGGAAAAGAGAAGGTTTCAGGGTGACCCGACTGCATCATTCCAGTAAGAAATTCTTTACTGTGAGGGTGGTGAGGTAATGCAACAGGTTGCCCGGAGAAGTTGTGGATGCCCCATCCCTGGGAGTATTCAAGCACAGGCTGGGTAGGTCTTTGAGCAATCTGATCTAGTGGAAGGTGTCTGTGGTAGGAAAGTGAGACCTAGATGATCTTTAAGGTCCCTTCCAACCCAAGCCATTCTATGATTCTATGATCTGCACCTTCAAACTTCATCCTTTGTCTCTCTAATACTAATTCAAAGTTCTTTGCAAAACAAGAGATTCATCCAAGCTGAGACCACTCCCAACCATGCAATTCCAACAAAGTTCACTAGAACTGTGGGAACTTGCTCTAGCCCACCCTACATGGGTGTCTGATGGATATGTCACATGTTCTCAACAGTATATGACGGAGCTCAAAACCAACA